TACTGCCCTTGTCAACACCAAACCTTTATTTGAGCGCTGCTACTACTATCACTACTGCCCTTGTCAACACCAAACCTTTATTTGAGCGCTGCTACTACTATCCGCTCAAATAAAGGTTTGGTGTTGACAAGGGCAGTAGTGATAGTACTAGCAGCGCTCAAATAAACGTTTGGTGTTGACAAGGGCAGTAGTGATAGTAGTAGCAGCGCTCAAATAAAGGTTTGGTGTTGACAAGGGCAGTAGTGATAGTAGTAGCAGCGCTCAAATAAAGGTTTGGTGTTGACAAGGGCAGTAGCCTAGCTAAATGGAATTAACACTCAAGGTGAAAACATAGCAGATAATGGAGGAGTTAAACAGGCATTTCGGGTAAGTTGAAAACCTTCAGGAGTTTGTATAGAGTGGAAGTAACCAAACTATTCTTCTTAATAAAGTTCAACTATTTATTATTTAAAAATACTAAAATTAACTTATCACAGCAGGTTATAGGTGCTCTTTCTAAATTAACGCTTTTTATTTTTACAACAACAAGTTGAAGTTTATTCGCTGTTTTAATCGTCGTTTCTACAAAGTTTCCAGCTAGAAAAACAGCTAAATTAAGTTATTTGTAATTAACTGTGTAGGAAATTACACCTAGTGGTTGTAAAAAAAGATAAAAAGGGGTATGTGATAAGTCAAACCACAAAGGAGTTAATATATATATTTATTTCAATATATATATAATTGTGGATACAACGTTTCCAGATTAACTGTTCAGTTAGTGATACCTGAAGAAGGACATTGCCCGAAACGTTGTATCCACAGTTATATATTATATCCACAATTATATATTAATATATATATTAAATCCTTAGTGGTTTGACCTATAATATATTTCGTTTTATTTGTAAGTTACGTTGGGCAACAAATTTCAACTGAAAATTTTAGTTTTATTACCAGCTTAGTTAACTCGAGGACTGGTACTGTGATTAGATTAGATTTAAAAAAAACGATTTTTGCAATAACCTTTTTTTGTGTGACACCTATCGGAAGTTTGTTTGTTTTCAGGCTTATAAACGATGGGCTGAAAAGTACGGCCCAGAAGCCAGTCTTCCTGGGATTAACTTGAACCATTACCAACTGTTCTTCCTTCAATTTGCCCAGATCTGGTGTGGAATAAGTAGGCCTAAGGCAGCAGTTCACACAGTTCGTGTTGACGCCCACAGTCCAGGAAGATTCAGGTACGTGGTGTGAAAATATATTCCAGGCAACAGTGTTTGGGGACAAACTAACATATTGAGAGCTAAACATTTTACCCATACTTTGGGGGATTCGGGGGTTTATGGTAGAAATAACGGTGTTTTTTGTTTTTGTTTTAGAGTTGAAACGAGTTACTTAAATCAAGGTTAGGACTCCACTAAAGTCTCATAAACTACTGAATTATTAGAGATTGCAAAATTCTCACTATTATTAAGACCTTAATAATAGTGAGAATTTCAAGATGTCAGAGAAATAAACCATTTTCAACAATTAGATTTGTTTCTTATGGTGTTGAATGATGTAAAGCAAAAAAGACAACAATACTGCTGTCAGATTTCGTAACACAACTTTTCCCAAACTCTTGAAAAAGGGTTTGTGTATAGTTTGTTTTGAAGTTAAGCACAAAGCTACACAAAGGGCTGTCTGTGCTCTGCCCACCACGGGTATCGAAACCACGATTCTAGCGGTTTGTGTATAAGCATGAACTGCGATTTTACAAGAATATTTAACTAGACATCCTTTATATATGCCTCCCAAGGTGTCTCAACATTAAATCTGAGGGCTTATAACGTTAAGAATCAGGCTTCAATACCCGCGGTGGCATAGATAATCTATTGTGTAGCTTGTGCTTAACAACAAACAGATCGTTTTATGCTTGTTCTAAGAACGCAAAATGGATATTGGTGAGAGTTAGAAACGCGCAAATCTTGTACGTATATATATTTTAATTAATTCATGGAATATTTTCACTGAGATTTAATAACAATATCCTATTAATGTGCAGAGTCGTGGGCACGTTGTCCAACTTAAAGGAATTCAGCGAGGTCTACCACTGTCCACTCAGCAGCCCGATGAACCCCCAAAAGAAGTGTGAGGTGTGGTGACTTTTCTTGACCAGTCGGAAAGCGATGAGAAGTCACTGTTGTGTCTGTAACTTAATTAATGTATTAAAAAACCATATATGTGTATGTGTGAGAAAAGAAAACGTCTTAACATGAGAATCAAAGAAAGACTAAAAACTGCTATGGCCTATTATTTCCTAAATTTCTAGCACGGTTTACATTTAATTTTAAGCTGTATAACGCTGATATTGTTGTGAAGCCTAAAATACTTCATTCTTCGCCAAAATAAGTGTTTTAACGTTAATTATATACTACTGTTACACCTTTTATATTTTTAACACCGCATTCTTTATCTAGTTCCTTAGGGAATTTCAAAGATTTAAAGAGTATATATTTTAATAGTATTCCAACCAATGAATATGTTCACCATATTCATTGCCGACGATGCGTTTCGCTCAATCCAGAGCTCATCACGCCGAGTGGAAAACGAGAAACACAGTAGTGGTCGGAACACGATTTATATAAACCATTTGTTACAACAACAATTGAAATGTTTTTGTATATGGTTAGGAAGCATTGTTACACTGTGTAGCCTAAATTATCAGAATTTGTTTGTAAAGCACTTAATAAATTTCTAACGTTCTGTTAACAGTCAACAATGAGCATACTGTTTTACTTGCTATTCAAAGTACGCGGGAGTATCTATAATGGCGTGAATTAATAATAATAATAATTAATTCCGGTTTGACAAGTTTTTAATGAAATAAATAATTAGTGATGCGTTATGTAAAATAATCTTAATTAAATATTAGCAGCCCAACATGTTCACCAAAGCAATCAACAATTTACGGAAGTGCGCAGAAAGAACTTAAACGATTCGCCTCAAAGTTTACCGCGCGCCGCAGCCCTAAGTGTAGAGTACGGTTGACACCCAATTTTTTACTTCAAAGGAGTATTTTACTGCCTCCCTACGCCCTCTGACGCCTTGTTAAAGAACGGCTATAGTCCTCTGTTCTAAGGAACTTATTTGTTTGTGTTTTTGTTTTTGTCATAGATTGAGTGTTCTAATATAAGGCATCTTCTATAATATACTAAATCTAATTACAAGTGCTTTCATATAAATAGTGCCTAGACCACTTGCTATGATGAGCCCTGGTATTAGACGAAAGGCCTTTTCGACACTGGATATGGTAGATGTAGTGTGGTTGTCATTTTCTCACAAGCTCCATCTAGTGTCAATAGTCACGAACTAAGTAAAGTTTTATCACTCCATCACCCAAACATGGCAAATCTTTTTCAAGAAGCTTCTATAATATTTCCCCCAAGATGGGGGACACCACAGAGTAACTATAGTCTTCGGGCTATACCCTTATCATTTGAGATGTAGAGCCAAGACGCACCCTTTATTTCTGCTTTGCAAACGTAGCAACACTAATTAATCCGGAGAGCATTATTCGGAATTGTTAATCTCGTGCTGGTTCTTCATCTGTAATGGTTTCATTCGTCAACATCTTCCAGTATTCAATATATTGTTTATCATTTTAAGAGTATTTTATCACAGTGGGACAGCGGTAAGTCTACGGACTATAGCGCTAAAATCCGGGGTTCGATACCCCGCGGTAGACACAGCAGATAGCCCAAAGTGGCGTTGCTCTAACACAAACAAAACTTATCACAATACCGGTTCCATATTTTCTTAACTGGGGGGGAGCCGGTGAAGCATATAATGGGGCCAAATCTCAGAATAATCTAAAATTGGATAATGGACGACATTAACTTGGGGGAGCAAACGGCATCTCATGTTGCCACCACCCCCCACTCCACTAGCGCCAACACTTTTTGTCAAAATGTGTAAATGTCAATGAACCACTGTGCAGAGTTAAACGATCTAAACCGTGAAAATACACGATACATTCAATACTCATCAGGGAAGTTTATCAAAACATACCATGAAACAAAATAGTTTTAATCTTAGTTTTGTACAACTGTTATACGACATTGATACATTGAATGGTACTGGTAATTTCATATTGTTGTATTAGAGGCTGAGTGTGGTGCTGGTAGGCTTGCACTGTTGCATTAAATAGGCCTGCCTTAGTATCAGTAGTTTCACATTGTTGCATTAAATAGGCCTGCCTTAGTATTAGTAGTTTCTCATTGTTGCATTAGTATTGGTAGTTTCTCATTGTTGCATTAGTATTAGTAGTTTCACATTGTTGCATTAAGTAGGCCTGCCTTAGTATTAGTAGTTTCTCATTGTTGCATTAGTATTAGTAGTTTCATATTGTTGCATTAAATAGGCCTGCCTTAGCATTGGTAATTTTTACATTGTTGCATAGAAGCGAGTCTGTGTTTTTACTATTGTTTTCATGTCTTTATTGTTATTCAATTTGAAGAATAATACTGTATAATTCACGGTTAGTTTCAATAACTTCATGTACATTGAAAAACTTCCTTATCATTGTAATACACATATGAATCAAACTTTCGATCAATATACAATGTAAACAACAAATGTATATCACACAAAACTTATAATAAACTTTGTGTTGCTTGTGTGATGTAATAAAATTTAATATGTGTTATAACCCAGCTCCATTGTTGTTGTTATTTACTTTATTAAACACACGCATATTTTCTTCATAATATCCATGTATTTATTCAAACTTAAACACCTTAGATATACGCCAATTATTATGAAACGTGTGATATGTTAATCAAGTACTAATCTTTAATTATTTTAATACACTGTGACATCAAAGGAAATGGCTAAAGAGTTAGGAGTAATAGTTGTCTACACATTTTTAACACAAGATCTCTCCCTCAACTAACGGTGGCAGGGATCGGACCTAAAAATTTCGGGATTTACCCAATTTGGGTGAAACTTAAAGAGAGTGTACCATACTATAAGATGTGACGATCACATTTTACAGTTTTTCAAATCGGACAAAGGTTGACCAAGTTATGACTGGCCACATCGTCAGCAGAAACCCCATAGTTAATGACAATACTTCTTGTTGTGTAACTGACGGGTCCACTACGTGATCCTTCTTGTTGTGTTAGTGACGGGTCCACTACGTTATCCTTCTTGTTGTGTAAGTGACAGGTCCACAACGTTATCCTTCTTGTTGTGTAAGTGACAGGTCCACTACGTGATTCTTCTTGTTGTGTTAGTGACGGGTCCACTACGTTATCCTTCTTGTTGTGTAACTGACGGATCCACTACGTTATCCTTCTTGTTGTGTAACTGACGGGTCCACTACGTTATCCTTCTTGTTGTGTAAGTGACGGGTCCACTACGTGATTCTTCTTGTTGTGTTAGTGACGGGTCCACTACGTTATCCTTCTTGTTGTGTAACTGACGGGTCCACTACGTTATTCTTCTTGTTGTGTAACTGACGGGTCCACTACGTTATCCTTCTTGTTATGTAAGTGACGGGTCCACTACGTTATCCTTCTTGTTGTGTAAGTGACGGGTCCACTATGTTATTCTTCTTGTTGTGTAACTGACGGGTCCACTATGTTATTCTTCTTGTTGTGTAACTGACGGGTCCACTACGTTATTCTTCTTCTTCAAACATCATTGCATCTGTTTTTCAGACCAGAGTCCAATAAAGCTGCCCCCAGTGGCACAGTGGTATGTCTGCGTACTTACAATGCTAGAATCCTGGTTTCGATACCCGTGGTGGGCAGAACACAGATAGTCCATTGTGTAGCTTTGTGCTTAATTACAAACAAACCAATAGATTTTCGGCAGATAGCCCAAAGCTCCATTGACCGTGACTGGAACTTTTCTACTCTTCGGCATGTCATCATCATCAGTCACCATTATTTCCTCATTTACCAGCTCGTGCAAGGTTCCGAGATATTCGACTTGCAACCTGACATCTCTTGTTGAGGCAAATCCACCTATCAAGCCATCAAATATGATGTGGCAGCGCTCAAACAAAGGTTTGGTGTTGACAAGGGCAGTAGTGATAGTAGTAGCAGAAATATTAACAAATATATTTCACACAAAAAATGGCTAATGATAAAAAATTATATGAATATTAACAAATATATTTCACACCAGAAAAATGGCTAATGATGAAAAATTATATACATATTAACAAATATATTTCACACCAAAAAAATGGCTAATGATGAAAAATTATATAAATATTAACAAATATATTTCACACCAAAAAAATGGCTAATGATGAAAAATTATA